GAAAATGGAAAAAAGAAACGTAAGGGTGTGAAAAAAAAAGTCATAATAAGGATAACAGTAAAAAAAGAAAATTCTACCAAAAATTAGAATAATAAAAAAATTTTCTTAATTCACGAGAAATAGAAAAGGAAATGAAATTCACTGATTAATTAATAGTAATAATAATCAGTCAGAAAATAAGCAGTAAAATATGAAGAAAAAAAATATCCTTACTTCACTAAAAATGGAAAAATAAACGAAATTTACTGATTAATACTAATAATAATCAGTAAAATTGAATATAAAGGAAATACTTCAATAATAATATTCTACATCATCAATACTAAAGACATATTTTAAACAATAGTAAAGGTAAATTAAAAATGTAGCGAAAATTAAAAATGAAATGGAAATATTTCAATAATAATATTCTAAATCATCAATTAAAAATGAAACGAAAATTTGATAAAAATATCATTGCATTTGATATTTTAGTTTGCTAATTGATTAATTGGCTAAAAATAAAAGAGAAGTAATTGGATGAAAATAAATATGATATTACTAATGGATTGCAAATTTAAAAGGAAATGAATATTAATAATTGACTGTAAATAAAAAATTATTCATAATTGACTAATATGAAAAAAATAAATGGTTAGACCATTGCATTTTAATTAAAATGGAAGGGAAACTAAAATTGAACGCCAATATTTCAATAATAATATTCTACATCATAAATAGTAAATTCATATTTTAAACAATAGTAAAGGTAAATTACAAATGGAACAGAAATATTTCAATAATAATATTATACATCCTCAATTAAAAATGGAACACAAATTAGGTAAAAATATCACTCCATGTAATATTCTAATGGACTAAAAATACAAAAGAATAATTGACTGAAAATGAATATGATATTACTAATTTATTTAAAATATAAAAGGATCGCTAATTGACTAATATTATACCATTATATATTTTCACCGAGTCACCCATCCTGATCAATTGAAGGTGTTAGCTCTAGACGATGATGGACAAGATTGTGTTGCTACTACCAATGTCGTCTACAAAGAGGTTTCAACAATGTGTAAATAAAATCGTTGATATTATATTTTTTAAATGACAAAATTGCTATATGTATAGACAAAAAAAATATCCTCCATACAAATGAATTAAGATAACAATTCATTCATATAACTGAGTTGCTAGAAAACGAACACATTTGTATAATTTATAAAAAAAAAAAAATACTAAACAATGATGCAAAAAAATCTCCAAAGTTATAACACTACATGCATACATCTACACATTAGCTATAAATTTGAGCAATTATTTGCTTAAATTCATACAATGATAATATAAAAACACATAAATGATCCAACCCGTATATTCAATTGAACTATATAATATTTGATGTTCTAATTTAAATAATTATATATCGATCCAAATATTCTTAATATATTACAACGAATCTATTCCGTGCATCGCACGGGCGCAAATACTAATATTTATAAATAAGAGCAACTACATTTATTATTTTTGAAAAAAAATTTCGGAACAAAAAAATTTGGATGTGATTTTTCAACAAATGACGGTGGATTTTTTTTTAATGATTTTTATTCTTGCAAATCAATAATTTTTGTGGGGTTCATTTAATGTGAATAAAAGTCTAGCATGGCCTAAGGTTACGCATTTGGCGCACTGGATGCGCCAACTGGGCGCGTGAAGGTAGTGTTTTTTTTTTTTTTGGTCAGATTTTTTTTTTTTTTTTTTTTTTTTTTTTTTTTTTTTTTTTAACTCCTTTATCCTCTTCTCTCTTCTCCTATTGCCTATATGGCCTAACAAAAACCAAACAAAAAAGCAAGCAATTGAGTGTTTGGTTTAACTAATACTCCACCGATCTCATTTTATCTATCTTATTTACTATTTATTGGTTAAATCAATTCTTTCTTGCTTATTTTTTAATATTTGTTTATTTATTTTTAAATTTGATCTTTTTGTATTTAATATATAGTATTTTTAATAATATAGTTTTTAAATATATAAATTTTGTATACTAATATTAAACTTAATATTATAAAAAATTGAATTAAAAATAACTTCATTTAAACCCCATTAACCAAATCATACACATAAAATGAGACGGGAGGAGTATAAGTTATCTAAGTAATGTGGGTATAATAATGAACAGCTTTGTTGGCGTGACTGACCATGCACTCTTATCCCTTAAGAAAGGTCGGGAGTTTGAACGCGCTCTCGTATGTGAAAATCAATCTGGCCAGCACTTTACCCTTTAATTGGGTCCGGTGCGAACATGGAATAATTTGAGTATGGTAAATAATATTTTAAGGTAATCTTATTAATTACCTACATTTTCTTACTTAATCTAAAAGTATCTTTCAATATTCTTAATTTATTCCTGTTAACTAACTCGTATATAATAATAATGATGATGAGACCCTGGGGTGTGGTTGAGTATAAGGGACTCATCCATCATTAACCAAACGTCAAAGGTTCGATACTTGGTTTTAGGTATGTAGCAGCTTTAAATCTCTAGGCTAGTTATCTTACCGAATAAAGGTGTCTACAATTGAGCGAGTGAATTAATCACTATGTCTGATCGTAAAAACCCTATGCTACACCCAAAAAAATAATGATGTTGATGTGACATATATATATATATATATATATATATATATATATATATATATATATATATATACACACCAAGTTGCTCCCTCATAGGGGAGGTAGTGAGTTTGAGTCTCAGGCGATATTGGCTATTTGTGTTTCATTTGAAATCACCCTTACATTTAAAGGACTGAATTTATCATTATGGCACAATTGATGGACTAAAAAGACCATCTTTAACATACATAAAATATAACTTTTAACCAAACAAAGTAATATTATATTTTCACAATCCAAACAAAACATATAAGATAATTTTATATTCCCAAAAACTCACATTATATTACGTTTCAAAAGATAATTTTGTTACCTAAAGTAATCTCACATTCTGTGAACTAAACGCCCCCTTAAAGTATTTTGGAGTGTTCTAGAGTATCTTATTGGCCCGTAACGAACCCTACTAAAAAAATATTGAAATAAGGCCACTATCTGAAGGTGTGCATTAGGTAAACTTTATTACTGTGTAATAATATGCAAATCACACAGAAAGATAAATCGCACTAAGAAGATCCAATATAGCGAGTTTGGCTAAGAATGTATTAGCAAGAATTAATCTTAACTTGTGACCTTTTGATACAAAAATCATGTTTCGTACATTCAACCATTTCTTTCCTGTAACAAATTTAAATTTTCCTCCAATATAGTATGAGTATTATTTTTAAGCTCACTTCAAAAGAAACTTTTGGTAATTAGAGTAGGTACAATATCACCTGTGACAGGTGCCCTTCAAACACAGTGGGCTGTGGGGAAACTTGTGTACTATCTATCTATCATCTACCACAGTCTATTATTGGATTAATTATTACACTGTAATGCATATTTATGTTTGAGTGTAACAATCAAATTGAAAATTTGAAACTTCATGGCTCATTAACTATTAACCATAAAGGGCAGGTGACACAACGTTGTACCTTAAATTTGATTGATCCCATTTTGGCCATCTCCTCTTGGATATATCCATGATATAATCCACACATGAATTAATCACTCAATTTTGATCCTTCAAATCCTCTTAAGATTTTAGTGTCCTCCTCCATCTTCTCCGACAATTATATCTATGTAACGGATCATGTGAGAATAGATCGAAACACTGCTGGAAATTATGGAATTTTCGACCACTTAAAAGTGATTTTAAATCAAGTCGAAAGCAAAAAGTTGTCAGAAATAGCAACAAAGGTTTTTCGGATACCAAAAATGGTCAAAACAACGCTTTTGACTTGATTTATAATCAATTTCGGGTGGTCGGAAATTCAATAATTTCCAGTAGTGAAATAATGACATATACTAGTATAAAAAACGAGAATTAATGTGAACAGTCAAGATCAAGTAATCAAACAGTTCAAATTTTTTACTACATAAAAGTGTAGTATTTATAAAAACCTATAATGCATATATTAACTAAAAGTTCAAATGCATTGACATAAGAGTACTATGTTTGTAGATTCGTACAGAAGTCAGGTTTGCAACTGATGTTATATAGAGATACATTCTATATTACGATGTTATTACGAGGTAGAATACCCATGTTACCACTTTCTCAATTATTCCATGGATCATAACATCAACATGAACACATGTGTAGTTGTTACATGTATGTCTTTCTTATTGCAATACCTCATATGCAAACCATGTTTAATCATATCATTGTTTTGTTCATAGCTATTCATGTTACCATATCTTACCCAAATAACTTTAAAATGAAGTCAAATATCGATCTCATCCAGATGTCTCTCGATCCTCGACTACTTTTACTTTACTGAACTAACCATTACACTTTAAAAATAACCAGTACAGAACTCTACGCTAATCGATACAGAACTCTCTCGAGACCATTCTTATTTTGTTGTACTTTTTCCTTACTTGGATTTATATTTTGACTCACCAAATCGTACTTCCTTTACATATACGTACTGTATACATCGAGAAAAGTTTTAAGAAAATTAACATCGAGTTTACAATCGAGAAAAGCTAGTGAACCAATACATAAGCAACCAGCAGATGTGTGTAATTGTGTGTCATTAGTTCTACTAATCGTCTCGTGTCAAGGTGGTAGCCGTAGGATAATCACTGTTTAAGCACTAATTATCCTCAAGATTAGCATTAATTACTGTTCCACCCAGTGGTATTAAGCTATGCCACGCCTGTTGTATACCCCCCGCAGAATTCTCCCCCCATGTGTTTAGCAGCTTTATTGGGATGCTAAGTATGAAAATGAGAATGTCTTTTGGTATATTTGTTGAGTTGTGAGTGGCTCAGGATACATATATATGTGTATGTATGTATGTATGTGTAGAGACTAGAATGGGAATGAATAGGATTGTCAAATAAGGTGTATATTTAGGAACTTGAACCAGTCACAATTTGGCATGGTTTTCATAACACTCTAATTGTTTATATATTAGTGCCAAAGCTCAACTCTCATTGGCTTCTAGGATCTGCTAACTTTTCCCCCCATTCACTGTTCTTGAAGTTTCTGCAGTTTCTCCTCCCAAATGAAGGTTTGTTGTTTCAGCTTTCATGGCAGATTTTTGCAGAGAGGTTTTGAAAAGTTGGTTTCTTTGTATCTAACTGGTGTGGTTTGTTCTGGTGCAGTTCTTTAGCTGGATGCAAAGTAAGATCAATGGTGGAAAGCCAAATCCTGTTTCTCCTGCCCACTGTAAGGCCCTTTTTTCCAGTCAAGAATTGTGTTTTTGGTTTTGGGTTTCTTTGATTAGTGCAGTGTGGGGTGAAAACTGAAAAGGGTTGCTAAAAAGTCTGCAACTTTTTGTGTGTTTTTGTGTGTGTAGATCACAGAAAGGAGGCTCAGAAAGAAGAGTTCAAAGACTGGCCTGATAGCCTGCTGGCAATTGGAACTTTTGGGAACAATAATCAGAAGAAAACCCAAGATTCTGGGGATTCCCAGAGCCAAAGAGAAGAAATTCTGCAGGATAATGATGAACAAAGTTCATCTCCAGATTTGACAGAATTCACAGCAGAGGATGTTGGGAAGCTGCAGAAAGAGCTGACAAAGCTTCTGTCAAGAAAACCGGCTTCCAAACCCGAATCTGCAGAGATAATGAATAATGCTGCTGATCTCCCACTGGACAGATTCCTCAACTGCCCTTCGAGCCTCGAAGTCGATCGAAGAAACTCGAGCACGTTGAGCACGAATTCAGACAACAGCAGTTACGATTACGATGAGGACGAAATAGACCGAACCATCAGGGTGATCATAGGGAGGTGCAAAGATGTGTGTGAGAAGAGCAGAAAGCAGCAGAAGACCCTTGGCAAAAAATCTCTCTCTTTTCTCCTAAAGAAAGTGTTTGCTTGCAGAAGTGGCATTGCTCCCACTCCCAGTCTAAGAGACACATTTCAAGAATCAAGAATGGAAAAGGTTAACCTAATATAATCCCTCTTATCCATCCTAGATTTCATGTTTCATAAACTACTAGTTTTGGTTATGACTTATGATCTGATCTGATGAACTTCCTTCCTTCCCCTGCAGCTTCTTAGGACTATGCTCTCCAAAAAAGTTTACTCCCAAACTTCTTCTCGCCCCTCGACGTCGATGAAGAGATACCTCGAGGACAAACAGACATCAAGAACTGATGAAGAAGAGGAGCAAAAGAGGGACAAGACTTGTGATTCAGGAAGGTGGGACAAGACAGATTCTGAATGTAAGTTCTGCACTTATACATTAAATTAACAATCCCCTCATAATGTTGTTTTAATTTGATCCTAAGTCTCATGTTTTCTGGTTTGTTTTGCAGTTATTGTTCTAGAAATTTAAGGTAGGCCTCCAGCTTAGGTTCAGATTGTGGTGATCTGAATGCCCTTTTTTCTGAGGATTAATGGGAAGACTTGATGAACTCCAACATATGAAGATATGAACAATTAAGCTCTGATTTAATCATGATGATGATGAAGTGATTGTTTACAACTAAGCAGGCTTAATTTCTTCTTCTTGTTGTTTTTTTCATGGTTGTATCCTTTGATGGATGGGTGCAATACATGTTATGTAATATTTGTTTTGGGAGCATTATGTGATTTATGATGTTCTTGAAATTTCTATAATTTGACTGTGTACTATAAAACTGGATAAGAAAAATAGAATTTTGAATTGAAGTTGTATAATAACCATGACTGCTTGTGTTTGTCAATGGGCTTTCCATAGCTTTTGACTTTTGAAAAGTTACTTTGTCTTTAAGAATAGTTTGTGAACTTTTTGTTGAATAGTTATATTGCTTTTTTTTTTTTTCTCAAATCTTTTCAACATAAATTTACTTTGTTCTTTCTCTTATTTACAACTAAAATTAATGTATAAAAATAATATTATTAAAAAAATCTAATTGAGATCTTGGATCAACAATAGGAAGTTAGAATTTGCCATGTGTTTCTGGAACATAACAAAGTGATTAACAATCTTGAGACTGAGACAAAATTGAAGTATAGAGGTTTGAAGAATCTAGCACCCCCCAGGGCCGTTCATATGCAATAAATTTTTCAACTTCAACTACAATAAATTATATTCAAATTGGCATGGCTAATAAATCGGAAGGTGTGGAAAAGAGAGAGCCAATATGTATGTAATTCAATAATTTAAACACGGGAACCATACGAGAACAAAATGTGCAATATTCAATAATAGATGAGAAGTTTTTATAAGGGGTACAGACATTCTTAGTGTTTGCTATGCTAGAGGTCAACACATTCCTTCATTGTTATTCAGTACAAGGAAAAAAAAGAGGATGAAAGAACGATGTTTTTGGATGATTTGATTCACGTTGAGAGTTGTCAGGCTAGCCATAGTAGTCGCGCCGGACTAGTTGGAAAATTATGTGTTGATAGTCTTAAAGGTAATAAAATATGAGAAATGAAAAAGTAGAGGAAACGGGAAGGTGATTCATGGTTACCATTTGGGTTGATTAGAGTATAATACCTCGTGTAATTATCACAATAACTTTTTCAATCCTGAAGAATCAAGTTTTTTAGTACTATAATATTTTCATTCGACATTTTTGTCTAGCACAATACTCACAACAATCTCATATTGACTTATATACTTATTTGACTTGTATTTTGAGAGAAGCAAATGAATTTTCGATTTTCTCTTACATCAGCATTAGATTTTAAGTTTTAACACATACCTGAGGTGAGAGATTAAAATGTCTACATGTGAACAATTTAAGGACTAAATATGGTCACTATTATAATTAAAGAATTGAGTTTACCATTATGTGACAATTGAGAGACTAAAAAAGTCATTTCTCCTTAATTTTTTATTCTGTAATGCATGATGAAATTTTTTTTCTTTTATATATACATGTGTGTACACCAATAAGAGTTTTTTTTTTTTTTTTTTTTTTTTTTTTTTTGAGTTAATTCCAGTAATGGTCCTCCGACTATGTTGATTGTTCACATTTGGTCCTTGACTTTTAATTTGGACAATTTAGACACTTGACTTTCAAAAATTTTCCAATTTTAGTCCTTTCGTCAAATGAAGGTTAAGTGGATGTTAAATTAAAGGGCAAAATATAGTCTTTTCAACTTTAATAGCCCTTCCATTGCTTTGTTCTTCGACCAAGGCGTTGTTCTAGCCGTACAATTAAGTCTTCGGGCTACAGAGGTTCAGAGAGTGTGAGTTGATCCATGGTCGGTGGCCACTCTCGGCGCCTTCACCGTCGAGTGGCTCACCAGCGTTAGGTATGTACAGCTCAGAGCGAGTGGTAAGACGCCGGAAAGGTATGTACAGCTCAGAGCGACGACAACGACGAGTCGGAGAGGTGTTGGACGACGGCACCGCCTTGGCCGTCCACCGCATCGGCGAGAGCGGCTTGCATCAGTTCCAGGAATACGAGAACCAGACAAATCTGGGTTATTGGCACTTGGTTCACCCGAATCTGGTTCGGATTTGTTGTTGTTCATCTGGATTCATATTCAGTCTAGGTTGCCGTCTGACATTCCTAGGCCGAGATGGTGCGAGGAAGAGGGCCTCTGCCGCCAAAGGTGAACGGCAACATCTAGAATGTTCTGCTGCTTTGTGCCCAACCTCGGTGGTCCTCATAAACTGTTGCCCAACAAACAGGTAAAAAGACATCTCTTGGTCACTTTGTAGGGTCAGTATTTCCATTCATTTTAAGTTGAGTTCCACAGTGACCTCACTTTTTAGAGGAGTTTCTTCCTCAGAGGATGAATGACAGCATGGATATGAAAGGGGTAACAAATAAAACTGTGGAGATTGTGGTTCCAGAACAAAAGATGCATCTTGTATATGGCCTCGAAGGTTCCAGTCTCACCATATTGAAAGAGGTAAAAGCCCAATTTACCTTCCCGCTAGTCTTTAGCTTTCTACTACTATTCTTTTATTAGTACTAGTTGGTTTTTACCGTTTCCTCACCTTTTCCCCCCAATTATACTTCTTAGAGCCCAGGCGCTCAGATCACAGTGCAAGATCCACATCCTGGAGAAAAAAGTGGAAATGTGATTATATCAGGCACACCGGAACAAGTACAAGTCGCAAAGTGCCTTCATCTATGTTAAACTATAAAAACTACTACTTCAATACAAGCTCCACCAGATTGAATGCATTCTAGTTGAATTTTGTTTCTCAGTGCCGGAGAAACCGCCCACATGGTTGCCGGCATTGGGGCGGTGGTATTTTGATTTATTTGGCTATACAGAGGAGAATTATACACTTAGCATGTTAAAGGACTGTTTTGCCCCTCCATTTGACATCTACTTAACCTTCATTTGACGGAAGGACCAACATTTGAAAGATATCGAAAGTCAAGTGTCTAAATTGTCCAAATTAAAAGTCGGGGACCAATTGTGGAAAATCAACATAGTCGGAGGACCATTGCTGGAATTAACTTCTTTTGTTTTTAAAGAAAATGATTATTATAAGGTAAAAACTCATGTATCTAATATTTTGGAGGAGGAAATGAGAAATTAAGAAGTGAGAATTACAAAATTATAAGACTATTCCTCTTATTTTAAGTAAAACTTTCTTAAAATTGAAGGATTAAAAAATGACTATATGAACAAGGTACTGCCCCCTCCCTGTTGATCAAACTCATGACCTCTCATTTAGAAAAATCAATTCATGTCACTATACCACAAAATCATTTGCAACTATTATGTTATAATTCAAAGACTAAGACTCTCCTATTTTTTTTTCTTTTTTCTTTTTTTATAATGAATAATCTTTATATATACAATTTGGCATGTTCCTTATGTCATTGCGGATGTGACTATCATCTTATTAAAAATTATTATTTTTAAATTTTAAATAAATAAAAACCCACCCCTCCCCGTCTTTATCTCCCGCGGGATGTGAATTCCTTCCATATGTGATTGAATTCAAATCTCTCATGCTCTGACCAACTGTAAGACTTCTAGTATTGCTGATGCCTGAGTAATTTGTTGGATGGGTTGCAGATTTGATATTGAACAGGAGTGTAATTTGGCATATGACTTCTATTCGTATTGTATCTCAAGTGACACCTATATCAACTTCTTACATTCCTCCATGATTCATCAGCAACATTAATAGGGATGCTACTACTTCTATAGGGAAAGCCTGTTTTCTGGAATTGGTCCCAACACTGTTCGCAAAAAGTTGAATTTTCAACCTCAAGAGCTCCTATTTTGTGGAATTGGTCTCAATATTGTTGCCTAAAAGTTTAATTCACAACCCCAAGGGCCCCCTACACTCGGATTCGACAAAGTGAGCTGCGCAGAAGGAGTCCCTCGCACTTTGACCCCAAGGCCCCCCTTCCCTCGCACTTTGACCCCAAGGGCCCCCTACGCTCCGATTCGACAGAGTGAGATGCGCACAAGGAGTCCCTCGCACTTTGATAGGCTGCTCCCACACTGCCATTGGTGAGACTCGATCCCGGATCATTGTTCGCAAAATTTCACATATGTGACCAACTGAGCGCCCATACAGGTGGAATTGGTCCCAACATCCCAAAGAATTGGAGGAGTTTTCAAACGTTTTCTTCGTTTCCGACCTTCTTTGTCTCCATGTTGGAGATGAAACAGGGAGAGTAGATTTTTTTTTTTAAAATTATTTTGTTTAAAATTATTAAAGTAAATTAAAAAATATAATTTTTTTAATAAGATAAAAATATCACGTTATTGATAACTTAAGAAACATATCAAATTTGATTGAATTGTATAATTTTAGACATTTCAAAGACTTATTACATTTTTTTAGTTGAATAACGCAATTACACTTTTATGTATAGTTCGGTGGCTAATTTGAACATTTTTCAAAAAAAAAAAAAAATAAGTAAAGATGGAAAGATAGAAAAGGTGATGGGTCATATGGAAATAAGTAATCTTTTTGGGGCCATGAGAAGGCAGAAGTGCTAGGGGAAGCTTGGCCTTCTATTTCTCTCTCGCCAGATTTCTGTAGTAAATACTCCGTGGCTCCGTGCGTCACAACGGTAGTTAGGGTTTTCCCAGATCTGAATCAAAGCGCAAAAGTCAGCAAGTTTCTCCCTCCAACCCTTTTTCCGTTTGGGTTTTAGCATTGGACTTTTTCAAGATTCAAGAACTGGGGTTTTGGGGAGCAATATAAGCCGAGGGTAATCCGAGCTGCCAATGCAATTTGGATATAAATTGGAGAAGTTTTCGGTGAATTTTCTGATACCGGAAAAGCTGAGCTACTTTGAGCGTACAACTCCCATTCACCTTCATCATCATCATCAATAATGTCTTGGGCTAGTGCGGAGGACATTTATCTCTCTACCTCTCTTGCCAATTATCTTGACAGTCAGTTCTCCCTTTCCCTCCGTTGAATTTGAGTTTGATTAGCATTAATGTGTATAAAGTTATAGCCTTTCGCGTTCGGGATATGGATTTTACTGCACTGTATCGATGATTCTTGAAAAGTTTATTGCTTGATGTTTGGTATATGGTAGTGATTGCTCAATGTCTTTTGTGTATTCTTTAAAGTTTAGAACTGTAGTTGAGCTTTGACCTAATTTTTCAATAATTTTTATCATGGGCTAATAAGATTTTACTTTCTGGACTTCTTGTCATAAGAACTGGATTTGGAGTTAACTTAGGTTTGAGGTTGTAGTATGGTGGTACTTTTTTTTGAGTGACTAGGAAACCGGCAACCACTAAGGTGTGCACGGAGTAAATCCCGCGGAGCCGCCTTGTTACCCTAGCTAGCAAAGGACCTCTCCTTGAGGTAAACCAGTCTAGGTTGCCCATAGTTGATCGGCTCAAACCAAGAAGGCCAATAGGCTGTTCCCGAACTTGTAACTTTGTGATTATTAAGTCAACAATCTGACCAACTGGGCTAGGGTTGCCCCCCGGTATCTTGGTACTTTGTTAATGATGATAGCAGAGATATAGTATGGATGGATTTTCTTCTATGGAAAAAAAGTTTGTGAATGTTCCTTTGACATTAATTAAGTTCGGTCATGTTTATTTGTTGTTTGCTTGGTGGAAAATTATATTTAAAGTTACCTATATTCCTTTGTTGTTTGTGTCGCACGTTGTTTGATTTATATCATAATTAGATTAGATATAGGATGCGCTCTTTCCATGGCCATAACAAACTTAGTTAAACTAGCCATTGTTTTTACTTGAATTTGATGTTATCCTGTATGTGATCTTGACCATCACCACTTATCGTCTTTGACAGAGAAAATTCTTGTGTTGTTACGAGATGGTCGAAAGCTTTTGGGGATACTTCGCTCTTTTGACCAATTTGGTACATTTCTTTTCTTTCACCCACAATATTTTTGACTGAAATACTTGGCAAATTGACGGTATTCCCCCTGTACTTTTTAGCCAATGCTGTTCTTGAAGGAGCTTGTGAACGTCTTATTGTTGGTGATATCTATTGTGACATGCCGTTAGGATTATATGTAATCCGTGGAGAAAATGTCGTCTTGATTGGTGAGCTGGTATGTTATTGTATCTTTTTTGGCTTTAGTTCTATATTTCTTCAGCTCCATTGTTTATGCAAACTTCTTACATAAAGAAAGTTCTTATGTGATTGTTCAGGATTTGGATAAGGACGAACTTCCGCCACATATGACCCGCGTTTCAGTACCAGAGATACGAAGGGTATGGTACCGCCAAATTGCTACTCCAGTCTATAATCTGTGCACTTATTAGCCAAAAATTATCTTTAGAACATCAATATTTTGATGTAGTGACCATGCTTTCGTGTTCTTATTTCGATGTAGGCGCAAAAAGCAGAAAGGGAGGCATCGGATCTCAAAGGCACAATGCGAAAGAGGATGGAATTCCTCGATATGGACTGAGATATATTTTGCAGCGATGTCAGGTTCCTCTGCTCTTGTACTTGCCTCCCGCAACTATTTTATCGCGGTTGCCTGCCGGGTGGGCACAAAAATGTAACTAGGACCCGAAGATGGTCAAACATTGCCCCCCGGAGTTCCCTTTATTCATCGTTTTTATACATCATTGTAAAATTCACAATACATACATTCTTGTTTCTAGATTTGCAATCATATTTCGCGCATTCTTGCTCATAATGGTTCTGGAGATATATGATCAAAATGAAAGATAAAAGGTACTAAAAATATTAGCCGCCTTATGAATTTGTGCTTTTATACAGTTTTTATGAATGTGTGTTTTTATACAGTTTATATAATCGAATGAGAGCCAAACAAGACTAAAAATATTGGGAGAAGAAGATTATTGTGTAATATTTATTACTTTCTCTTTGTATTGTTTCTGAAACGTATTTGGTCAAACCATTTATTTTCATTGTTAAATTTAGGCATTGCTTGACTAGATTAAATGAAAGAAAGAAATAATCATTTTATTTCAAAGAAATATACTGCTCTGCCGTTATTAAGATTAATAAGTTTCATTCAATTTTCATTTTTGTTAAGATGATATTGAACTTATTTTGCAAATAAGTTTTTATGTTGTCAATGTCATATGATCCAAGGTTGACATTGAAAACCTATTCCCTTGTGTGATTATCCAACACTATTAGTCTTGATATTTTTATATGAAAAATAAATAAATTTTGATTTACTAAACACATATAATATTTTATAAATTAAAAATAGTTTTTTTTTTTTTTAAAAAAAAAAAAGAAAAAGAAGAAGATATTTTTCTCATGAGTTATAGTGATATGTTTATTTCTCTCATTAATTATAAATGTATTTACTTTTTTCTCTTCAGTTATTCTCAAATTGATTATTTTTTATCAAAATTCGTTAATTAAAAGATGAGAACTTTTTTGTTAATATTATCTAAATGTTTCAATATCATCGTTCATTTGACTCAAACACATAAAATAAATAAGATAATTTTTCCAATTTTCATTTCTTAATCCTAATTGTATACCCAAAAACGATAATTTTGTATGTTTGAGTTAAAAGAACAATGATATTGAAGGATTTAAATTATATTCTTAGAAAATAAACTCTTATTTTTTTAGTATTATGGATGCCTTTCATAAATAGTTAATAGATTTAAGTATTGAGAAAAGAAATAAATGTATCAAAAATTGATGAGAAAATTAATTTATATCACCCTAACTTAAGAATAAAAAATGTTATTAACTAGTATATAATGTGATACTCTTTGTGTTTCATTAAGTTAATAAAGTATATTTGAACAGATACTACAATGTATTAGAGTTACTAACATTTAAAAAAAAAAAAAAACTAAATATTAAAAAGATTGAAAACATTTTTTTAACTAACCTCGTTTAGTCGTTTGTCACTTACTCACTTTAGTCACCAGCAGTCCAGTGTTCTCTCTTCCCTCACCACTCGCGAGATCTCTCTCACTCTCTCTCTCTCTCCTTCTCTCTCCGTCGGTCGGTGTTGTGCAGCCAAAGCTTTGTGTACAAGCAGATCCACCGAGTTGGACTCAGCTCCGGCAATGTCGCGGTCTTCGTCGACGAAGCCAATCAGAGCTACTTCACTGCTGACGCTACTTTGCGTATTTCTGCTTCGGTACTCGGAAGCTTCAGTACATGACTACACAGGCGAGAAATTCGCGGGCAAAGGCAATGCATTCGTGGTCTATGGAGGCAGCGAAGGCATTTACTCTTCCGTTCCCAACCGCAACGAGTCTTCTCCTCTATCTTCCAACGGCGATGCTTTCGTTCGGTGATTTTTTCTCGTCTCTCACTGTGTTTTAGCATATAACGTACTTGAGATCTCATCATTGTTTGATCTGATTTGCTTCAAACTTCGTGTTTTTTCGCTGAGTATTATGATCTGCGGAGATCTTATGAACGTTAGAAAATCGTGTTTGATAGTAGATGCAGAACTCAGAAGCAATGAGCTTTTAGTTGCTATGTGGTTAGCTACTGCTCGTTTGTGATTGTAAAAATTAAATTAAATTAAATTAGTTTATGTTTGATTAAGTGATTGATAGGTTAGAATATGTGAAGTTTTATGGGGCCTTTTACATAACAGGGACTAAATGTAGTGATTCTAAAATCAATGACTAAATTATTTTGCATATTGCTGATTTGCTGTGCTCTGTGCTGCTTGATTTGACTCCATTACATTGTATACTGAAGCTAGTACTTGATGTAGAAATACAGAGCATATCTTAAGTTACTATGCAGTTTATAGATTGTAGCTTCAAATTAAAATTCTGCACCACATAAAATGGAGTATTTCATTCAGTTTTTATATACTACAGGATTTTTGGATTGTAGCTGCTTTGATTTGTATTTCCTTACTTAATGGTTCTTGAAGTAACTACTAGTGGTTAAGGTTTTGTGTTAAAGTTAGTTTACAACACAAAGTATTGGCTAACCTGCTTTATATAAATACCAGCTTTGAGAAGATTATATTCCGGAGGCCCAGAGAGTTTTCAAATTTCAGCTCGGGGTCCATTTATGCATTAGTTTTTGAGGTGGATGAGAGAGAGATGATTGGGGGCTCAGCTTATGGGGGGCAAAGAGCTGTTTGTTGCACAGCAGATCTTGCCAAACTTGGGGTGTGTAATCAAGGGGAAATCATTCACCGTCCATCTACTGAACATCCTGGTTGGCCTCAGGTGTTTGGTGTCTCATTTGATGTTGATAAGGATGACACTGCACTGGAGCCAAGAGAAATACAAATTACAAAAACTGGAATGTATAATTTGTATTTTATTCATTGTGATCTGAATCTTAAGGAAGTTGTTGTTGAAGGAAAAACCATATGGAAAAACCCTACTGGTTACCTACCTGGTAGAATGGCACCACTCATGAACTTCTTTGGGCTCATGTCTCTTGCATTCGTGTTACTTGGTGTCTTTTGGTTTTCACAGTATGCGAGATTCTGGAGAGAAGTTCTAACTTTACAAAATTGTATTACTCTAGTAATAACATTGGGCATGTGTGAGATGGCCTTGTGGTATTTTGATTATCTTGAGTTTAATGAAACAGGAGTCAGACCAACTGGGATCACTGTGTGGGCTGTCACCTTTGGCACTGTGAAGCGCACTATTTCACGTTTAATCATTCTGATGGTTTCTATGGGTTATGGTGTTGTCAGACCTACCCTAGGTGGTATTACATCTAAAGTTCTTATGCTCGGAGGAACTTTCTTTATAGCATCTGAGGTGCTTGAGATAGTAGAAAATGTTGGTGCAATAAGTGATCTATCGGGAAAGGCGAGATTGTTTTTTGTACTTCCTGTCGCATTTTTGGATGCTTTCTTCATCCTTTGGATATTCAGTGCTCTCTCTTCAACATTAAATAAGCTTCAGGTACATGACATCTGTGTATACATATTCATTGCTCATTTTATATTTGCATTAATGGGTACTCATATAGTCATATGCCTTAACCTTGGGGGGGGGGGGTGGGGGGGGGGGGGGTTGAGTGGAAGGGACTCATCCATCCTTTACCAAAGGTCAAGGGTTCGATCCTTGGCTTTGGGCATGGAGTAGCCTTAAATCTCCAGGCCAGCTGTCCCACCCAAAAGAGGTGCCTACAATTCAGTGAGGGGATTAGTCACTATGTCCGACGGTGGAAACCATGTTTACACCCAAAAAAAAAAAATATAGTCATATGCCTACATAATTTGTTAACTGCACTGAGATGGATATTTATTGATATTTGTGACAATCTGTGCTTGATGAATGAGCTCTTGTTCAATTTTACCTGCAGTTGGGAAATGGGGTATTACTATTTACTATAATTCATTTTATCATAAAAGGAAATTAACTTATATATTTTTTACATACTATGATGTAACAGGCTAGAAGATTGACAGCAAAGTTAGACATTTACCGCAAGTTCACAAATGCATTGGCAGTAGCTGTTATTGTATCTATTGGTTGGATATGCTATGAGGTAATAATACTTGTAGAAATTTGATGCATGCTGCATTGTAATTCATATATATATATATATATATATATATATATATATATATATATATATATATACACACACACACAAGTCACTGTTGGTTTCGTTCTGAACCTGAAATCTCTGGTATGATTTGAAACTGTAACTATGATATCACGAAACTGAATCCAAGTCTATAACAATTAGCTCATGTAAAACTTTCAACTTTAAAATTAAATCCAAACTCACTGAGCAAAAAATTACTAAAATACTATTTCTTTGAACACTTTATAGTTGATATAAATTATGCTCTGGTAGAAAGCGACTGGTTCTTTTTGTGAAGTGAGGTTGAATTCAAAGATTATCTAAAACAAAAACTCTGAGGAGCTCCTTTATGGACAGCATGATGGGCATTTGCATATTCTGTTTTTGTGCAATTATCTGTGTCATTTATTATTTGTATTGGAAATATAATTTCTAATCTGTTTATGAAAAAAAGGTAGATAGTCAGCTGCTTCTCCCAAAGTCATATGTTAATGGTGTAACTTTATTATGCAGATTTACTTTAAGTCCACTGATGTCTACAATGAGCGATGGAAAAATGCATGGATCATCCCTGCTTTCTGGCATGTTTTGTCTTTCTCTCTTCTCTGTGTCATCTGTGCCCTTTGGGCACCATCACAGAGCTCAACAAGGTAAATATCATCTTTCACATCCTTAATATACATTTATTAATGACAATTGCATTTTCTGCCTGATACTTGAACATCAAATGCTAAATATGATGTGATGGGACAGCTAAGACCGTGTAGTCTAACAGTATAAGCCATTAAGCCTCAGACTCTATGTAGAAGGTCTCTAGTTCAACTTGCATTCCCCTAAATAAAATAAAAAATCGAGGACATTTTTACCATGCATCAAGAAGGATTAAAGCATGGTTTCCAGTTCTCTCAATGTGATACTGGTTTTCTATGATTATCAATCATCCAAATTTCGTTGCTTCTTCAGAACAAAGAAATTTGGCAGGGCTTTACCCTTACAATAGCCATAATTCTCAAACGACTCATACAATGCTTTAAATTCCAAAACTCACTGGTCTATTCATTTGACAGGTACGCTTATTCAGGGGATGGTAGTGAAGATTTTGACAAGGACGACACTCTGACACTCATAAAGCCTTCACCTCTGCCCTCAAAGGAAGTACGAACTCCATCTGAAGTAAAACAAGCGCTGGGTGACAGCGGGAATGGTGATGTGGAAGAGGACAAGACGGAGTAAAGCAAAACGCGTCAATTTTGTATAGTCTTACAAGCAGAGGTGAGGTGGGATGAGTTTGAATGTATTAGAATCCGTGTATGTTGCTAGTTTCTTGTTTGTTGTACCTTCTAGTTCTATTTTATCTTTGTCTCACATATTTGTATTATTACAATTCGTGGACTCATAGGAAAAATAGCTTAATGTTATGGTTATGATGTCCGTGTCTGCGATGGGAACAAATAATATATCTGCAGATACTCTTTTCCTTCTTTAGTATACCAGAACTCTTTCTTTTCAAAGCTCGTGCCCTTGACTTTTTTTTTTAATATTTAATTTTCAATGGCAGATGGAACATCGATAACTGAGATTTTGTACATTCTTCTGTTTGAAGTTTAACCCCAATTTGATTTGATGTATATATTATTAAAAAGAAAAAAGAAAAAGAATAAAAGAACAATGATAGTTACACTCGGGCACTCGGTGCCATACCTCAATCATTGAAGGAAGGTTTATTTTTAATATATTAAATATTATTTTTTGAAAGTTATTTTTAGGTTTATTATCTAAAATAAATTTCTCATTACATTAAAAATAAATTTTTAGTATCTTAAAAATGAATAATTGTCAGTAATTTATATAGCAATGTAAATTAGTCACATTTTTTTTGGATGACAAGAAAAATCCCACAACTCTTTTGGATATAGGTAAATCCCATGTTATGATCCAAATCGATAAAAGATCACAAGTAAACTAACCTAGATAACCCATAGCCGACCCTTTTTCCCTTTATTTTTTTAATGGTGCATTCTTATTTCCCTGCTTATTCGATTAATAATATGGTGGATGGTGCATTCTTATTTCCCTGCTTATTCGATTAATAATATGGTGGAGCAAATATCATCTTTTATGCTATAAAGCCTGCGGCTGAAACTGCTGACAATGAAAATTAAGCACCACCTTCCCAGAGTTCATAAATATACTTCATACAAGGATGACCAAAAGAGAAGCAAGGAAAAACAAAAGAAGAATTGATCTAGGCCAGGGTAAAGTATATTTTACAAAAGCAGAGTACTTCACAACATTTTGTTTCACCCCACCCAGGAAATTTCTGTCAATTGGATAGAGAGAAGCGCCCAGAAAGGCGAAAAAGGAAGCGCCGGGGCGAGACAAACTTTAAACTACAACTTCTCTACTGAAGAGAAGCAATCACACATCCAGAGCCTTTCTTCACAGTACATGTAATGCTGAAACCTATAGTCACATTTCAAGACATTTAAATCATCATGAACATATTTCACCAAAGCTCGGGCATGTAAACAGCACTGAACTGAAGTATATACTAGACACGGCTTGAGTACTTCTAATTTACAAGTTACAACTGTAAAACCCCAATGTGGAATGCCACTTTGTTCAACCCTTGAATTCATATTCAACAAGTCAACCCCAGACAGCCAGCCCTATGGAACGTTCCATAATAGGGTTGACCTCTACTTCAAGAGCCTTGGAAGTCGGCAGTCAAACTTTACGACTCAAACTTCACCTAGACAAGTATTGCGACTAACAAAAGACCATTGGAGTTACTAGTCAATACGTGATAGTCAAAAAGCATTGGCTTTCAAATTGCCACATTCAAAGTTCTATAAAGAAAATAGAACCATTTCATCATGACATTATTGTTCATTTTGAAGCAAACATTCTAGGAGTCATCAAACTTATCTGGTAATCAAGTCTATTAATGAAACATGATGATTAGTTAAAAAATTTCAAAAAGTGAAACCAATACAACAATTTTTATATGACCATAAAAAAAACAAAACAAATTTAAACATGGAAAAGGTACAACACTGTGCTTACATGGCTAGGAGGATTCGGGCAGGGGAGCAGAAGCTATGCTGGAGACTTATTATGGCTTGTCTTGAATCTTGATCTTCTCTGTTTTGAAGTAGATTAAATAAGCAACCCCTTTAAACTATCTGGGAACTCAACTAAGAGTCTGATTGACAACCAGATGCCCCGTCTCCTGCATACTCCACAAAGAATCAAAGAATTGGCCTAGATTCTAATTCATAAAAACTTACACCAATCCCCTTAGTGAGGTGCCCTCCTCAAGTGCTGAGACACTGGGTTTCCCTCGAAGAAATCAAGGACTGCATTCTCAAGGTCCTCGACCGAGTACTTAATGTAATTTTCTGGGTGCCTTCCACTCTCAATATGACTCCTAAACCGTCCAAGGAAAGATCTATAAGCAGGGATCAACCTCTCAGACATGGAAATTCGTAGCTCTTCACGAAGCTGAGTATCTGGTATCAACCATGTAGACTGTGTTCGGTGAACCTCTTCAAACATAGCATTGAAGCTCTTAAACCTCTCTCTCAAGGCAGTCTTTGACACCCCGGATGAGAAGCTGCCAACATGCAACCCCTCATCTCTCAAACAATACAAAACCCTCACCCAAGTCGACCTCTGGTAATTAGTAGCTGCTTGCCTGAACTTCCCAGTTAACTTCCTCAAATAATCATCCCCAATCATCTCCCTTAGCTCGGGTGAGCCCTTAATCTTCTGAACAATATAATGAACATTATTCATCATGAACAAATGTGCCAAGGAAGCATCTTTGTAGTGCTTAGACTTCGCATCTAAGTTGAACTGTAAGATCACAATTATCCAAATTAAATGAAGCGCCAAAGGGGTCTGCCCCTCTACCTCGGTGAAATCCATATCTGGTGTATTAGGGTCACTCGAATATCTTGACCCCGTTGAAGGATTCGAAACAATCAATTCAACCAAAGTCTGTTTGTAATCAGAGATCAAACTGATGTAATTCATCACATACCTAGTCAATGGATGAATAGTTCCTCCTGGGACAGCAACTCTTGAAGGCTCACGAAGCACTGCATTTTCAAATTCAGACAATATCCCTCTCACTGCCTCTCCTAACCTAGACAATATCTCAGCTGCCTGAACCCTAAAGGACTCTGAGGATTTTGATTCAAACACTATTTCTATATCAGGCAATAAATCTGATAAAGCATCATGAAGATCCAAAATCTTAAACAATTTCTCCGGTGATCGCCGGCTAATACTAATAGCTTCGGCGAAATTAAAAAGCTGAATAGCCGGACCTTTGATAGTCTCCATAAAGCAAGCATCGTCAGTTGCGGTGCCTAAACCCTCGAAGATTTGCTCGCAGAGCTTCTTCTCACTGGCGAAGAGTATCCGAACGCACAATTTGGCGGCCCGTATCCATCGTCGGATCTTCGTCTCGAGAGTCTCCCATTCCATCCTCTGGATATCTCCGATGCTCAACTTCTCTATCCCAAGCTTCCTGAAGCTCGCGTCAACCGCCGACTTCCGGACGCTGCCGTACACCTGAACACACTCGCGCAGATATCCGGCGGAAATCATCCGCACGGCGATGCTCCGGAGGTCGTGGATTGCATCCAGCGGCATGAGGTCGATTTCTCGGAAGCTACTCATAGATCGGTAGCTGCTGCTGCTCCTCCGGCTCTCCTCAAGCTCTAGCTCCTTGGTCAACGAGCTTTCTTCCTCAAAGTCAAAGCTCTTGAACTCTTGCTCTCCCAAGCTCATCTCGCTGCTGCTAGTCCTGGGGCTGTAACCGACTCTGGAAGAAGAAGAACTCGACTCGAATAGCGACTCAGCTTCGATCGGACTGGTGTGAGCTATGAGGATGCTACGGAACTCGTCCTCGAGTCGAGCCATGGCGATCTGGATCGCGCTGTTAGCTTTGCCCTGGTCATCCGACAGCGATGCCGACTCCATGGAGCGCTGGATTTCATCGACGGCGCTCAAGTACAGGTCGATCTCCTGTCGGTCTCCGCCGAAGATCATCTTCTCTCTAGCATCTTCCGACGCCGTGGAGTCCCACCGGAGAATTATCTGCTCAGCCGAGTCGTATGCTACGGCGTCGTTTCCAGGTGGCTCCATAATTGGAAATCCGGAACCTAGAATCCAAGATTCAAAGCCCAAAAGATACGAAACTTTTGAGAGAAGAAAGAGATAGATAAGCACAAGCAGAAATAACAAAGAAGATGATGGTGAAGAACAATAAAAAATGGAAGCTTTTTTGAAAATTTTATTGATTTAATTTTTTCTTCAAATTTCTAATAATATCACAGGAACATTAGTCAATAGCACACTCCTTAGACTAACAGTGAAAAAAAACAAAAACAAATATTATTCGTCAAACACCCCAACCAATTAGAAATTTGTTGTATGTTCAATATTTAAGAAATTTGTGAATCAAAAAAAAAAAAATAGTGATTTTTTGTAGAGTTTTTGTGAATCAATTCTTAGAGCATCCACAGTAGTAATTTTTTGTAGAGTTTTTGCAGAATAAAAAATTAAGATAGGATTTTGGAACGAATGAAGCTAAGATCTTTATGGAGTTTGTTTGTTTTTTTTTTGCAAATCAAAATTTTTTCGAACCCCGGCCAATAGGCAAATGACACGCAAGATGTACGTTACACGCACTGTCGCGCCGAGCTGTGATTTTTTGTAGAGTTTTTGCAGAAGAAAAAATTAATATAGGATTTTGGAATGAATGAGGCTAAGATCTTTATGGAGTTCTTTTTTTGCAAATCAAAATTTTTTTGAACACCAGCCAATGACAAATGACACACAAGATGCACGTTACGCGCACTGTCGCGCCGAGCCTTGCGCGTAAAAGGATCTTTTTTTTCCTGTTCAAAAAAAAATTATGTCTATTAACTATTGGTGTTACTCTTATAGGGAAACGTTTTTCTCCCATTCAAGAATCATGAACCCTTCGGTTTAATTGTTCAGAATTGCATTTTTAAAAAAAATATCAAATAAGTTACTAAACTTTAAAAAACATGCAATCGAATCATCAAACAAGTCAAATATGTGTAAATTGTAACTTTTTCTTTTAATGTAATTTGAGTTGAAAATATTTCAATATTTCCTCCCAACAAGTATGGTTGAGGAAATGACGACTCTTAGTACATACTATGTAAGTAATATGTTCGAATTTTACATGAAAAATTAAAAAAAATTAATTCATTTCACATATTTTTCTTATTTAATGATTCGATTGCACATTTTTAAAATTTTGTAACCTAAATGTACAGAAGCAATATAATAAATTCAGTTGCATATTTGATTTTTTTCAATAAAATGTTGCAATTTTGATTCCTAGCTACAAAAAAAAAAAAAAAAAAAAAAAAAAAAAAAAAAAAAAACCACCAAAATCAGGGCATGACAACTTGTCTCGATTCCTAGCTGGAATTGAAATTGTCCGTACGGTATTAATTCCAATTTGATATCCTGCTTGACCATTTTGGTTCAATCCGAACCGTAATCATGTCCATCTCTATTATTTTGTCTAATTTATTTAAGTAATTTTCAGTTAATTCAATTCTTATATTTTAAAATTTAATAAAAATACTAACAAAATTAAAAGTACTCGTTTAACCATTAATATTATAGGTCATACTTGTGTGAGACTGTCTCACGAATTCTTATTCGTGAAACTAGTCGAGTCAATATGAAAATATAATACTTATAGTCTTATACTGAAAAATGTAATACTAATATGGAATAAAGTATTTGTTATTTATAAATAAAAGTGTAATACTTTTGAGAAAAAATGTAATGTTTACATCTCCTCAATCTCTCATCATGCATCCAAAATAAAAAAAAATAAATAAAAAATCGTATCATAATTTAATTATTTACAATTATAATGTAATTATGTGTTGGTATTATAGTGCATGTATATGTATTTATAATCTCGTTTGCTATCTAGTCGTTACAAAAGAGCGAATAGATCATAAACGCATGTCCTCAAGCAATTTGTTCCATAATTCGTGGTTGGTCGGTCAAGTGTCCTGAATAACATTAGATCGAGCGTGTTGATTTTTTATAATATACCCTGTGACCAGTTTTTAAGGTCTTTTGTTTTGCTTTGTTCAGACTTGACTTGCTTATCTATTATCAAATAACATGGGTAAGTAATATTAACTTCAAGTCCTAATATAGATACGAACATAGTTCCATTTTATGTTACATTTTTAGTGAATTTGAATCAACAAAAATAGAATTGATTAGTAATGAATTTTCATTTGTGTAGTTGACCAAATTGGCGTTTGGAAGAGGGCAAGAGACACTCCAATTTGATGCATAGAATGGAAACACGTCTGTAATCTGTTGACATTACTACCTCGCGACAAAAGAAAATTAATATATTTAAATAATTAATTAATAATCTTTATATATGAGATTCAAACTAATTAAATATAATCTCTTCTAATTTAAAATTTAAAAACATAATAAGTTTCCATCAAAGTTATATCCTTCATTTTTGTTCATATTTTTAATGCTAATTATTTTGTACATTGTGCTTTTAGAGTTGTACTATATAATTTTTTGGACAAAAATACCTTTACCGTTATAACTTCCGTTATCTTTTTCATTACTTTTACCATGCACATGCATCTATCATATCTTTTCTTATATTCTTTAATGATAACAATATTTGTAAAACATTATATATTCATTATATATTGAATTAATATAATATAAATAAATTTTATTTTACTTAAATTTTAATTAGTAAAAATTTGTTAATTATTTTTAAAAATATAAATATTGAGCATATATTTTTACGCATAAAAGACTAGTATTTAAATAAATAAATAAATAAATAAAAAAGATACGGAGTATTAATTTGGTTAAATATGCTTTGACAAAATAATTTTTTTAAATACTCATAATTCTTTACAATATAATATTTGTTCTATATATTTTCAAACATTTTCAATCTAAAAAATATAAGCAGCCATTATCAAGGTTAAAACCTAGAAGCACTCAATTTGAAATGGTATCCAGTATCACATCTGGTAATTGACATGTGTTCACAAAGCATAAACAAATGGCGAGTAAACATTTGTATCAACCTAACATAATGAAATAACTATTAACTGTATTCAAAAAAAAAATAAAAATATTAACTTATTTTTCCTCATTATGGATCAATGATGAAATAGTGAAATACCACAAATCCACAATCATTCAAACAACATTACAAATTTAAATTATAGAATATATATACAAATATAAAATAATGAATTAATGATTAATGAATCACATAATCAATGGATGGACGATGCTTCAACGGAATCGACGCCGTCAACCGGCGGATGACGGACGACGAACGAAGCTTTGCGGCTGACATTTTTTTTTTTTTTTTTTTTTTTTGTATCGCTATTAAAATGTACCTATGAAATTAACCAATTTGATTGACGTGAGTTACTGTGTACTTTCATCCCTCCCACAGAGAGAAAGTATATTGATATATAGACTAATATAAATATATTTGCATAAACATGCAAGCTTACCCCGTAAAAAGTGTGGATTAATTTCATATGTCCATTTGGTTGATCAATGGCTATAAACTAAAGAAAAATTGAGAAAAAATTGAGATACTTTCGTAATTATACACTGCATTGTATAACGCTTGATAGTGTATACACAAATAATTAATATTGCATACACTTGTGCACTATTATTGATTTTGAATGGACTGTCAGAGTGTCAAAGATAATGTATTACTACATATTTCTCTTAATTTTTCAATTATTGATTATCTTAAATGAAAACATGAGATTAATATGTACTTTTTATCAGAAGCATATTGTTACGTGTACTTGACCCTATATATACCACAGATTTATTAGCCACCTCATTCACGCTAAAGTTAAGGTGGAGATTCACGTGCGTGCATGCATGCTTGCACGTATACAAAATCACATAAATTGAGAACACTTGGAGAATCTAATTAAATGCATTTTTTTAATATGTGATTTTAAAAAATGAGATTAGCTGATTAACACCACATATAATACACTATTATTAATTACAACTAGGTAGGATTATAAATTAATGTGTCCCCTCCTAATTAATGCATCTTTTTATTAGTGTATAAGAGCTGTTTATTAGCTGGCAAAACCGTACGTATGTAATATATAGTAGCAAAAGAAAATTAGCAAAACTTTTTTCAAAAAATAAAAAATAAAAAAAAATTAGCAAAACCAGTTAAGTGGAATTTAAAATTTTGTTGTTACCAAACTAATTGTCCAATCAATTGATAAGTTATTGTATTGTTTCAAAAATTTAAGTTCATTGGATAAAATTTGTAACAAATGTCAAATTTGAAAATGTTAACAAAGTTGAGAGATTAAACGTGATAATGTCACAATAGTCATGACATTAAGCATTCATCATTTGAAAATGCCGTCCAAGGACAGTTGACAGTTCATAACCTTCAGGTAACTATTTGTGAGTACTGCTCGAACTACTATTTGTGGGTACTGCACGAACTACTATTCGGAGTACTATTCTGAAAGATTTAATTCCGACTCTTTGAAATTAATTGTGAACTAATTTCAAATTTTAATTTTTAGAATTAAATTCCAGGTTAATGGGTTGAAGGTTACATATCGAAAATTATTTCAGGTATTAATATCATTGTTTAATGCTATTTAATCATTCTCCTCTTATAAAAACAAGGTGTTTGGGCAGAATTGTTTTAGCTGCTGATTTGAGAACCTCAAAATTTTATTTTGTTTTCTCTCTCAACATTTTCTTACGAAAAACACTGGCAACACTTCCATAAAAGTATGAAGTGCTCAATTTGTGTTCTAGTTTGCTGACTTTTTCGTTTGAGTGCTCAAACGTTAAACCGTAATTCGCTTTATCTTGGGAGTCGAGAATAACACTACAAAGCTCCTAGCACCCTTGGGAGGTAGCGAATTGATTTTAAATAAAGTTTGTGTTATATATATATATATATATATATATATATATATATATATATATATATATATATAGGGTCCCATTCACATGCAAACACTATTAAAATACAAACCTGTGGACAATCATGAGCCACCAGATTAGATTAGATTAGTGGTTGGGATGGAACATGGAAAAATAGGCGCCAGTTTAAGACTGAATATGAAAAGGACAATTTAGACAAACCAAGTACAATCCTACTTACCATACAAATCAAACAGTTCTAACATAAGACTAATTTGACTATAACTATCCTACCAC